TATATTTTTATTGATTTCAGAGAGGAAGGGAGAGGGAGAGAGAGAGAAACATCAATGATGAGAGAGAATCATTGATCGGCTGCCTCCTGCATGCCCCCTACTGGGGATTGAGCCTGCAACCCAGGCATGTGCCCTTGACTGGAATTGAACCCAGGACCTTTCAGTCCGCAGGCCGACGCTCTATCCACTGAGCCAAACCAGCCAGGGAAATTTGTGTTGTTTTAAGCCACTAAATTTGTAGTAATTTGTTACAGCAGCAATAGGAAGTGAATATATTCCCTCGCTGCACTGGTGTCCTTTCTGTTTTCAAACCAGCCAAAATCGTCCTCACTTCAGGGCCTTTGAATGTGTTCTTTCTTCTGTTGAAGCATTCTCCTGGGTCTTAGTGTGATGGCCTCCTCCTTAGCCATCAGGTCTCCAGGCCTGCTTCCTCAGAAAGGCCTTCCCAGATCGCCCTCCTGTTATTTCTTCTTTTAGTGCAACTTGCCACAGTTTCATATCATCTCATCTACTCGTGTGTCTACTTATCTGATTGTCTGTCACTATTACTAAACTGAGCTCCCCAATGGCAGTGACCTACTATATCCTCCTCCAGCACCTAGAATAGACCTGGCACGTAGTCAGTGCTCAGAAATATTTGTTAGTCCCTCCTCTACATAGCTGGTGTCTGGAGTGCAGAAGAGAGGGCCGCAGTGGGTCAGAGGGCTTGCGGAGGTGATGAGCACCAAATGTCTCACTTTGCACCACTGAGACAGCCCTGGGGTCAGTGCCAACCACCCACTCACCTTGGCCAGCCAGGGTGTCCCTGGATTTACACCCTCAAGCTCCCACCTGCACCCCAGGACAAGTCTGAGGAAGGGATTGAATGCTCTGGAGGGACGGGGGTAGGGTGAGGACTGCAGTGTGGCTCCCTATTGCTCTTCCCTCTCTTTTTTCCTGTCCTGTGAGGATGGCAGTGGTGCAAAATGGCTTTTGTTATCAGTTCCCTACTCAAGCTTCTTTTAGCAGCACTCACACCTCAAAGCCATGTCCTCACTGTCCCCTGGTGGACAGTTCGGTGCAGGGTTCCTTGAGTCTGGTGGAGAAATGGTCCCCTCTCAAGGCAAAACACTGCCCCCTCCTGGTTGTCTTGGGAGGCTGCTCGCAGTTACATGGATGGCTTTAATTTGGGGACGACTGCAGCCTTATGTGGCATTCATTTGTCAAGCCATCTTTTCCCAGTTCTTTTTCCACACTCACAGGATGGAATACAGAGCAGTAAGCCTCCTGCCTAAGCACATTATCCCCAATGCACCAAGGTTGTGGGTTCGATCTCCGGTCAGGGTACATGCAAGAAGCAACCAATGAATGCATAAATAAGTGGAACAACAAATCTCTCTTTCAAATCAATTTTAAAAAACAAAAATTATCTCCAATGTTAGTAAAGTGGTTGTGTGTTTATGGTGTAGTATGCTATAGCTACGTGCAATATTACGCTGCAATTTAAAATTATATTTATCAACCCAAGAGAAGTGAAAATGTTTCCACACAAAAACTTACACCAGGGTGTTCACAGCAGCATCATGCATAATAGTTCCAAAGTCAAAACAATCCGAATGTCCATCAGCTGGTGAATGGATAGACAAAGATGGTGTATACATACGAGAATGGAGTGCTGAACATGCTATAATACGGATGAACTTGGAAAGATGCTAGTGAAACAAATCCGAAAGGAGCACATATTGTATGATTCCACTTATATGAAATGTCCAGAGTAGGCAAATCAATAGAGACAGAAAATATATCAGTGGTTTCCACAGGCTGGAGGAAAAGGGGAATAGGGAATGAGTGCTAACAGGTATGGTATCTTTTTATTGGGGTGATAAAAATGTTTTACAGTAGTAGTGAGGGTTGCATAACTCTTTGAATATACTGAAAACTGCAGAACTGTACACTTAAAATAGTGAATTTTATGGTATGTGAGTTATATCTCAATAAAAATATGTACAAAGAAATACAAATTTAAAAAAACTAAAAACCTAGTAGAAATGTGTACCAAAAAGAATGAACTTTACTGCAAAGAAATACAAATTAAAAAAAAAAACAACTAAAATCCTAGTAGAAATGTGTACCAAAAAGAATGAACTTTACTATGCATTAGTTTAAAAATAAATTTTAAATGTGAAGAAATTTCAAGTATCTTGAGGGTGACCCTACATCTGAATCAAAGTTGTACCTCCCAGAAGTCTAGTACATTGCCTTATGCTTGGCAGTGGTGTGTTAAAGTCAATGGTAATGAAATCAAAATTATTTCCTTCGGGCAAGCATTAGCACCTTTACTGTAATTACTCTTCCATTTCCGTGGCTCAGTGCTGACAAGAGGTTCCTATTTCTTGGTGATTGACAAGCCTTCAGTTACAGTGAGTGCACATTGACCTGGAAAGTCACTTTCTGAGGTGTTGCCAGCTGCCAACCTAGGTCAATGTGCACTCTGCCTTCCAGAACAAAAAAAACACCTCAGTCTGACTGGACAGACTGCCTTCTACCCACAATTTCTCTTCTGTATATTCTGACCCAACTTCCTCTGATACCTCCCTAGAGTTTGTATACATGTGTACACACACACACACACACACACACACACACACACACACACACACACACACATAATGGATTATGACATGAGCAAGAAATAACCTTTCATTGGGTTAAGCCTCTGACATTTGCAGGTTTATCTTTCTCAGCAAGGCCCTGGAGCAAACTGGTGGCATACACACTCAAAATGGGGCCCTTGAGGGGACCTTAATAAAGGGACTATTTATAAAGGTGTGGGTGAGGTAGGGACAGGTGCAGTACCCCAGGGCTGGGGTTGGCTTAAGCCATTACATCTCCTAGGCCTGAGGGGGAAAGGGGAGGGCATCGTTCCTGAGCCTGATGAGAGTATCTGTATCAGCAGAGGCATGAGCCAGCTTCCTGGTACCTTCCATTGGTCAACTTCCCCTGAAGCTAAGAGCTGGGGAGCTCCTGGTGGGTAAAGGTCAGCTTCCTCTACAGAGAAGAATGTAGAAGGGTGGAGAGTGTGTCTGGAGGATGTAAAATATCCTGTCCACCCTGTTAGAGCTGCCACTGCTATTACCCTAAATTATACTGCATCCGAGAGTCAAACCTCCTTTACAGGAATTTATTCTCTATGATTTGTGGGTGGGGTAGAGCAGAGGCAGTGAGGAGGGGCTGAAGGGGAAGGATGCATCAGCTTTGAATCAGAATGCCTGAATTTAAAGGGATAACAAGATTTACTTCCCAAATCTGTGAAAAGGAACAAACAAGTTAGTATATGTGGAAGTTTTATAAAGTACTATACTATCCAAAAATAACTTTCTGTAATACACCCCACTAGGAACCCTCTCCAGGATCACAGGCTAACCCAGACACTCCATTCCTGAAGACTTACAGCTGCCCCCACACAAGGGATTAATTTACAGGTATTGAATTTCCCACTCTGATTTCATGAAACTATTTTTTCGAATCTTACCCTAAACCTCTGACATCAGTGTCTTTATTATCACCGAACCCTCCTCTTAAACACACACACACACACACACACACACACACACACACACACACACACCTTTCTGTTATGGAACATTTTTTAAAGTATATTTTTATTGATTTCAGAGAGGGAGAGGGAGAGAGAGATAGAAATCAATGATGAGAGAAAATCCTGGATCGGCTGCCTCCTGCACGCCCCACACTGGGATCAAGCCCACAACCCGGGCATGTGCCCTTACCGGGAATCAAACCGTGAACTCCTGGTTCACAGGTTGAAGCTCATCACTGAGCCACGCCAGCTGGGCTTTTACGGAACATTTTAAACAGATATGCAAGTCAAGAGAAGAGAATAGTGAAAGTACCCATCACCGGCTTTAATAATTATTTTTTTTTAAAATATGTTTTCATTTATTTCAGATAGCAGGAGGAAGAGGGAGAGAGGAATAGAAACATCAGTGAAGAGAGAGAATAATTGATCTGCTGCATCCTGTATGCTCCCTACTGAGGATCAAGCCCACAACCCCAGCGTGTGCCCCCACCGGGAATTAAACTGTGACCCGATTCATGGGTCCATGTTCAACCACTGAGCAACACTGGCCTCGCTTTAATAATTATTAATGCCTGGCCAATCTTGTTTCCTTTACACCCCACCCACTTCTCTCCTATATTATTATTTTCTTTTTTAAGCAAATTGAGGTAAAAGTGACATAATATAAAATTAAGCATTTTAAAGCATACAATTCAGCAGCATTTAGTACATTCACAATGTTGTGCAACCACCACCTCTGTCTAGTTTCAAAACATTTTCATCTCCCCAAAGTAAAACTGCACACACATTAAGCAGTCCCTCCCTTCCCCAGCCCCTGGCAACCACTAATCTGCTTGCTGTCTCTATGGATTTAGTTTTCTGGATATTTCATAGAATATGTGACATTTTGAGTCTGCTTTCACTTAGCACAATGTTTTCAAGGTTCATCCATGTCATTGCTTTATATAATTCATTTTGCCAATATATTGCAATTTGTTTAACTAGTCCTCTGTTGATGGACATTTGGATTGCTTACACGTTTTTGCTATTATGAATAATGCTGCTGTGAACATGTACGTACATGGATTAGTTCAAGTGCCTGCTCTCAATTCTTTGCGGTATATTCCTAGAAGGAGAATTGCCGGGTGTTTTAAAGGTATGCAGAATTTGTTTTAATCAGGCATGCAGACATGGAAACCACTGTCATGAAGGAAGAAGTTTATGCTCATCGATCCCTAGAACCAGGAGGTACAGCATGTCACTCAGGGCCGCATGAGGAAGCACCAGAGTCGATCAGGAGGCACAGGGATCTGAGGAAAGTGTGGGCAAGAGCCTTTATTAGGCTTTCTGTGGAATAGGCAAGGCAGCGTGAGCGGTGTTAGAATTGGCAAGGTTGCCCTAGTGGGTTGGCACCTGGCCATGGGGTGATTAGGGCAGGGGGATAGTGGCCTGGAGTGGAGAGCCCATAAAGGAGGTGGTTGGGGGTGTGGGCTCTGGGTTGATTTATTTGCATGTGAAAGACCCACTCACAGACCAGTGAGTTGTTATTTCTAGGAATTAGCTAACCCTGAGGGGTGTCTCTTGAGTGTCAGCAAGGCCCCAGATGTTGAATCATCAAAATACAAAAAATAAAAAGACATACTTAATTGGAGAAAGATAAATGCCACATGATCTCGCTCATTTGTGGAATAAAGTGAACAACATAAACCGATGAACAAAAATAGATCCAGAGACAGAGAAGCAGCGAACTGACAAACCTCAGAGGGAAGGAAGGCTGGGGAGGTGGGTGGGGTGGGGGGGTGAGGAGTAAAAGATCAACCAAAGGACTTGTATGCATGCAAATAAGCATTACCAGCCCTAAACGGTTTGGCTCAGTGGATAGAGCAGTTTCGCTCAGTGGATAGAGCGTCGGCCTGCAGACTGAAGGGTCCCAGGTTCAGTTCCGGTCAAGAGCATGTACCTTGGTTGCAGGCACATCCCCAGTAGGGAATGTGCAGGAGGCAGCTGATCCCTCTCCCTTCCTCTCTGTAAAAAATCAATAAAATATATACACTGAGTGGCCAGATTATTATGACCACCTGACATTTGTAGGCAAATTAGC